AGACCCCAATTAAACGACAGTATTTAACCAAACTATCTAAAGCCTTTAAAATTTAACCTAAAGATATATCATAATTTATGCTAAACCTAATACCTTCCCTTACGCTGTTTTGAACCTCTTCTCTTCTTCATTCTCTACTCCTCACACCCGCATGACTGAAACTCTTCACAACCCCAGACCTGAGCAACTTTTTAAAACATACGCGCTTTTTAAAACACTGACTACAACGATGATGGGCTCTTCCAATTCCAGTGAGGCCACGATGACAACACCTAAGGTAAGGCTCTTCAACTCACTGTTTTTTTTTTGTTTCCCCGAATGGTTTTCCCTCTCCCTCTTATTGTCTTCTGATTTTTTCTCTCTCAACCAATCCCTTTATTTTTTCTGATTGCAACTCTTACTGTAAAACCACGATGTACCGAATCGCAATTTTGAAAATATCCGAATGCGTTCGTACCGCGTTTCAGATCGCAACGTTCAGTACGTAGATCGTGGCCAAATGAGCGATTTATGTAACTATGGGCTCCAGGTTATTTTTCAATTTCATTTAGTTTTTCTTGTAATTTTTGTCTTTTTTATTTCTTTGGTTTAAGTTTCTAACTCTCTCATTGGAGTATCTGTTTTATGTTTTCATGCTTTTGTGGTGGTTTTTAAGTTTCTGTTCAGTTCCCCGTTTTACTTAGTTTTCCTTCTCTCAGTGTTCTATTTGAAACTTTTTGTATTGATTGCTAGAAGTTTATTAGGTTTTGACATTGTTCAGACTTTGTTCTTTGGTCTTGGTTATGGTTGCGATTCATTTTAGGTTGGAATTTGTAAAATGTTGTTCAACTGAAGAGTTGTAGTGGGAAACTTTAATCAAGATGATGCTGGTATGTCTTTAGTAAATTAAAAGTTTACAACTTGTATGCTGTACATTTGGATAAAGTAGCCTAAATTTATTGCAGAAAATTAGAGAATCATGACAGTAATTGTTTGGGTTGAATTTGAACACCTGTTATAGGTTGAACTCTGAATGCTTTCAGTTGTGCCCTGCTTGATCGATCTTTGCTAAACCGCATGATAGAACTATTAAATAAGATGGGGTCAATGTTCCATTTCTGAATCTTTCTTTATGAAAACTTCAGATGGAGGACTTAAAACTACCACATCCTCAAAAAAACAAGAAAACTCGGACTCACACAAAATCAGAAGCCCAAGCTTTATTGCTTTGACAGTAAAGGATGTCAAAGATCTACGGAAGAATCCCGCTCCCGGATATAGCACCGTTGTATTTACGTATGAGGGATGAGGTTGGCTACAAAGCAATTTCTGCCAGACTATATTCTTGGTGATGGTGGCTTTGGGGTTGTTTATAAAGGAGTAATAGATGAAAATGTAAGACCTGGTTACAAATCTACAGCTGTTGCTGTTAAGGAGCTTAATCCTGATGGATTCCAAGGTGACAGAGAATGGCTGGTAATCTCCTTGTATTGTTTAATTGGCATCTTCTATGTGATTCCTTTAATTTGAGGTGTTATGATTTTATTTGTGCCATACGTGCATTTACGAATTCATAATCTTTATACCATTGCCAACCAGTGGTACAAACTTATCGATTACGCCAAGTTTATCTAGCTGGGGAAGACTGCTCAATATAGGTATATTCTGTTATATTGTTACAATTATGAGAATCCACTTTAAAGGAATACATTAATTGTACACTCACCCTTTTGTCTTATTAATATAGTGTTATGCTACCTTGGGTTAGATAGAGATGTGTAATTTAAACATTACATGAATATCTTCGATAGGTATACATATACTTTTAGCATATATAATTGAGCAAAGAATTTTAAAATATTGATATGATTTTCATTGTTATTTTATATTTGAGATTATTTCATCAAGAAAGAGCTGTTTTTGTTGCTATTTTTCTTTTTATGGATGGATACACAATTCAACAGCATTTAGTCTACCAGTAAATGGTACCGGAAAAAAAAGTGTTTTCAAGTTGATATGTTAGATTATGTGTGTGCCTTCCTTTCCTTTTATTTTAAATAAAAAATCAAGACAAAATATATTTGATTCTGTTTGTACCTCAATCTTTGTATTGCAGGCTGAAGTCAACTATCTAGGCAACTATCCATCCAAATCTTGTGAAGCTCATTGGATATTGCTGTGAAGATGATCATCGGCTGCTTGTCTATGAATACATGGCAAGTGGGAGCCTCGAAAACACCTTTTCTGCAGTAAGTGGTTGAAAAAAAGAAGTAATTTATGCCAATGTTTAGGAGATAAAGAGCACTAGAAATTTACCTGCTAAAAGTATCTGCATGAGTATGCATATCAAGGAAATAGGTAATGTTTTCCACTATAGAAAGTATAAGAATTTTTTATTGACCCTATTTGTACTTGGTTGGTAGGAGTTGGTTGTAGATTGACATGGTCAAAAAGAATGAAGATTGCTTTAGATGCTGCAAAAGGGCTTGCTTTTCTCCACGATGCAGAAAGACCTATCATATACCGCGACTTCAAGACATCAAACATCTTGCTGGATGCGGTTAGTCATCATTTATTTGTTATTCGTCAGTTGGATGTACATTAATCAAGTTTGTATTATTTTATGGAATCTTTAAAAATGGGAAGACTAATAAACTTGGTATATGACCTATTCTTAGATCGATTCTTTTTAAAGAATTTTCTATAATCAGAAATCTAGTTTATATAGCTCCTAAAAAAAAACCTTACAGATGATTAATTTAGTGAAAGTTCCTTCTGACGAGGATTATCATAGCTAGAGACTTAGTCTAAGTTTCCACGTTTTCGTTTCAGGAAGTTTTAGTTTTATTTATAAATATGCATGTAAACTGTAGGCCTTCAATGCAAAGGTCAGATTTTGGCCTGGCGAAGGAAGGACCAATGGGAGACAGACCCATGTGTCAACACGAGTGATGGGCACATATGGATATGCTGCTCCTGAATATGTGATGACTGGTTAGTAATTAATTATTCTGTCACAATGGAATTGAAAATCTTCATCTTTGCCAAAAGTGGGGAACATTAAGTCATATGGATAGGTTCTTAATCAATTCTTAATGGGTTTTCTCTTAGACATGTGGGGTTAAAAGACTGAGTTTTTTTTATATGAATCTGTAATTATTTTAAATATACCCGGTATATGCCAATCCTGTTATTTGGTAATGGAGTTAAAAATCCCCTGGCATCGGTGGAATCATATTCTCTTATTAGTGGTAATTAACTTTCTGTTCAGTTCTGCGGATTTCGGAAGTAGCAATTTCCTCAGTTCCCTTTCTAATGTTTTTGTCAAACATGTTCCTGGTGTTTTGGTGGTATGCATCTGGATGTTCCAAAAATGAATCAGATGACAAAATTCTGCGGTAATTTTGGAATTATTTCAACTTTATTTTCACAGCCAAATTGTTTCAATTGCCTGATAGAACGTGTTATAGAACTGTTCTGTGATGCTCTGTTTTGATATCCTTTCCTAAGCTACTCATAATGTTTAGGTATGCCGGATCTAGAAATGATATAGGCTAACCAAGTTGCAGCATTGAAATGACCAGGCCATTTAACGGCAAGAAGTGATGTTTACGGGTTGGAGTTGTGTTACTTGAGATGCTCCTTGGAAGAAAAGAATGGATAAGAGCAGGCCTAGCAGAGAACATAACCTGGTTGAGTGGGCTCGTCCCCTCTTAGTCCATAATAAGAAACTTATGAGGATCTTAGACCCTAGAATGGAAGGCCAGTACTCAGCTAAAACTGCAATGAAGGTAGCCAATCTAGCATACCAATGCCTTAGTCAAAACCCCAAAGGGAGGCCTCTCATGAGCCAAGTGGTCGAATTACTCGAGGCTTTTCAGACAAAGGTGAGAGATGAGGAGGCAAAGATTCAAAGCGGAGGTGGGAGTATAACTCTATATGAAGCCAGTAAATCCCCTAGAAATAGGAATACGGGCAGAAGTGAAAGCAACAGAGAACTGGGTGCAGGGGGAAGCGAACCAACAAATGGAAGAAGCAAGAGTGAACCTCCCAAAGAGGTTGATCCCAAAGAGGTTGATCTTTATGATCCTCCTGCTTTTGAAGCTGAAGAATCCGCCAAAGGCTGAACCTGTCAAAGAAACAATGTGGTTGAAAAAACTTGTACTTCCTCTGTCTGTGGAAGTTATATGATATTTTATGGAAGACCGCAAGTGTTTTTAGCTGCCCTGCGTCTCCAATGGAATGATGCCTTGTTGTTCTATTATCTGCTGCTGCTTCTCTTTTTCTTTTTAAATCCAATGTATATTTGGTTGGTGATTGTGTGTTTGCAAGCGGAGCATTTTAGAGAGAATTTTGGCCTTACAGCATCCAGTAGAGATACGCTATCTATACAATATCCTGTTTTGTTATTTCTCTTAATAACTTAACTCTCGTACAAATATATCTTTCTCATATTCCTTTATCATTGTCAATTAAATTAATTAATATGTACGGAACCCTTTTACTTTCTCTGTATATTTTAGATAATTAAATAGTTTTATTTTTTGGGATACGATCTTATTACACAATGTAAAATTCTTTAATTTTACATAGGTTTAAAATCATTAATAAAAATAGATGACATAAATTAATTTTCTTAATGATGATATGATTGGTCTCTACTCTAATAAATATTGAATTCTTGTTATCAACTTTTAGCAACAGTTGATGAGACTCGAAAGTGGTGGAGAAAGAGGTGCCAAAAAGAGTAGATTTGATAAGAAGAATGATTCTAGTTAATTAGGCCAGTTCCAGTCCAAACTTAGTTGTCAAATACCGAAGTTTTGTTTCATGTTTTAGTTGTGTTTTATATGCTTTTACTTCATTATATTATATTGGAAAACAATTAGACCCAAAATCACACATAAATTTTGGTAACGGGACAGGCAATACGGAATTTTCATCTAATCATTTTGACTTCAATTGTATCAATGTCGGCTCATTCTTCCTCTTACTATCTCCAATTAAAATATTAAGTTTGGGGTCAAAATGGATTGGAAGTTTGGAACTGAATCAGACAATCGTAGCATAACATATCAGGGCTGGATACAATGCATCACACAACAAAGGTAGCAAAAATACTTTGAACATTTTCCAGTAAAACACAACAAACTTCAGTACTTTGGCCTCTCAAAGTAATGCTTATTCACCAATGCTGAAAAATTAACTAGCATATAAATCTATGGCAGTTGTTGCTCTAAAGGAATCAAATACTAAGTAAAAAAAATCTCTTTCCACTGAAACTATGTTCATATATCCCCCAGTCCCCTCCCTCCCAAAAGATAAAGGTTTTGGTGAATGGAATCTGAAGAATCATGAGGCCATAGTTACTTGGTATCATCTCGACTAAAATAAACCAAGCCTTCTACCTTTATTTGTATTGTTGAGAGACCTCCCACACAAGCTTATCCATGAATTGGCATTTTTTGTCGAATCCCACCAGGGTTACTCTGCATTATAAGATTTACCCATATAGTAACAAAAATTAGACTAGTACAAGATAGATCTGGCAATTTTAGATAAGCAAATTAAATCCACAAAAGCATTGAGATACTAATTCATACATACATGGTTCTAACAGTTCAAATACATCATTCCAGCAATGTTCAATCTATGTTGTGCTTTCACTTATGCCAATCCAGACAACTAAATCACGACCCACGGCAGGAGAAGCCAGAAAGGCGACTCATTTACCTTCTCATTATGTAAGAAAAGACCTACAAAACCAATAACTTCCACCATACTTTCTTTCTTATGCTTCATGCAAATAATGCCTTTAATGTTATTCTGTTCTAGTAACAAATGCTCAACCATAAAGACTGTGCCTGTTAGTCCCATTAGCCATCTTGAAGTGCCAGGGATCTCATATCCATGGCAGACAAGTTGTCTCATAATGTGCCAAATCTATTATATAAGTCAAAAAGAATGCAAGGAAGCTAAAGTTCAAAAACTGTTATTCACAATTGTGCATCACCACAAGCATCATCCTCAAACGCAATTGCGCATGAAGAAAAAATTAGTCAAGTATAAATAGAACCTGAAGAGAAAGAACTGCACGGTTTGCAAGTTCTTACAGAAGCAGGTTATATAAGTCCAAAAAGAATGCAAGGAAGCTAAAGTTCAAAAACTGTTATCTCACAATTGTGCATCACCACAAAGCATCATCCTCAAACGCAATTGCGCATGAAAGAAAAAATTAGTCAAGTATAAATAGTAACCTGAAGAGAAAGAACTGCACGGTTTGCAAAGTTCTTTACAGAAGCAGGTGCACTCTTGGGAAGTGTTTTTGCAACTCTTTCCAACTTCTTGCTGTTTCTTTGCAGTTACTCTATCAGGGCCACTGTAGTGATCAATGATCTCTTGCAGTAGAGGTACATTGTCCATTGTTTCTTTGATGGCTTCCTGAAAAGTTAAAGAATGTGGAAAACATGGTATACAGCTATTCACATGAAGAAGTCATCTAAAGAAGACTATCAAGAAAAGAAAATTAGGGTCCTTTTTCAAATAATGTGGATTTCATAGGTAAATTAATCAATTTCTTTATGAAAAATTTTGTGTGCTAAAACAATTTCACCATGACCTTAATTCCTTATGGTGATTTTCTGGCTTAGAAACTAAATGGATTTTGTCTCCATTAATGTAACTTCAGCCGTCTCAAGCTCAACTATAGGATTAACTTGAAGCAGGATGTCCTCTAAAATTTGAAATAGATTCTTACTAGCAGTAAGGATAAATACTTTTAGTTCTCCATGTCATTCATATAGAAGAATAAATCCAGTTAAAAGCAATGAGAAAAACAACCATGAACCATGTTCAGAGCAATAGAATATACCTCCCACTCTTCTTGATTTTGAATTCCTTCATATGACATGAGGAAAGGCTTCACCTTCTCAAGTGCATCTCTAAGAGACATAGGTGGTTTCTCGTCAATATCCGGGTTAGTCTCAAAATCTGCCATCAAATATTCAGGTTCAAACTCTATCTGCAAGCCAAACAAGTACATAAATGGTTTGAGATCCAAAATAACACAAATAAATCAAAGTCTGGCAATACAGTCCATAATAATCTTGTTGCAATGTAAAATTAAGGAAATGGTCGAATTAGTACGACATTGTTTCACATGTTCTTCTTTTGCAAGTGCATTATCAGTTTTATCTAAACAACAACATAAATCTATTTGTTAGCAATGTTATACATAAGCCTTTATAAACGGTAATTACTACCAGAAAGAAATCAGATGGCTCAATAGACCAAATTGCTATGCAACACACAAGTAAACACAATTTATAATCTTCTTGATTAATCAAAGAAATAGACAACGATACATCAAATTTGCTGTACACTAGAGTCAGAACAAATGGATCATAAAAAATCAGTAAAAATACATTAAATTTTGCCAAGCTAACTAGAGGATGCAAGGACTGAAATGTGAACAAAATTTTCACACCAATCTATTACAAGTATTACCACTTACCAGCCTTGCAGATTTAAAAATACCATTCACTGGGGCACATCTTTCAGATTAAAACCTATTATTGTAATTGTCACCCCTAAAACCAATCTATGTTCTTGTTCAACGTAGTGCTGTTTAGAGACAGTTAGAACAGTTTACTCCAACCCAAGTTTTCATTTATCCTTTTTCTATGCTAAAAACAAATCACCAGGCTGATTCTCTTTTAGCTGATCGCGTACAAAGAAAAGAACACAATTTAATTTCTAATTATAGTGAATGGAAGTAAAAATAATCATCCTTGCACAAAATTTTAAAAGGTGAACAACTCACCATTAAGTTGGTATGCATCGCTTCCAAGTAAGCATCATCCAGAGGAGAAGGCATGACTCTATTGGAAAGCTCTTCAAACCTTCAACCAACTTAGCCATATTTTCGGCTCCAATAGTTTCGGCCAATTTCTCCCATTCGCATTATCCCCTAAATAAAGATCATCTTCAAGCTCTTTAGCATCTTCGTCCTCTTTCCTTGTGTAACCTCCCCTCCCTCTTCCTCTCCCCTACCCCTGTCCGACTGCCTACCTCTTCCTCTTCCTCTACCTCCACTCATACCCATATCCTCCCTTTTATCGCCCTCACTTCTTGAAAGAATCTCCCTTGCTTTCTTTACCGCTTCTTCCTTGCTCATCTGCGGCAATGGAGAAGGTTGTTGCCGTTGCTGTTGTTGTTGCTGTTGCTCCTGCTTCGCTCGGATATGCCTATTTTCTTCCTTCATCTGCAAGGCAGGCTCCGGTTGCTTCGCATGCTTGCCCCTTCCAGCACCCGATAATGATGCAACTGAGGGTATACTAGATGGAAGTGTTGGCTCCATCGACTGAACGGACTCGTTGGCTGGCGTGGCCGAGGAATCAGCTTCGATTTCATCTTGTTTCATGATAAAGATCGGCAGTTTTGATTGCCTTGGAGGCGGAGGCATCGGCGGCACTGGCTCATTGGTGCCTCGGCCTCGACCGGATCCATATTGGGAAACGGGAGAAGAGAAAGTGGGGAGTTTGGATTCGGAGGATAAGGGCGTTCCTCTTCCATGTCCGTGGCCTAATCCGACGGAAGGTGATTCAGTTGAGTCGGGCCTTTTGTTCTCTGAGTTGGGTCTTCCTGTGGCTGGAGTGAACCCACCAAAAGGAGAGTTTCCTCCAGCACGGCCTCGGCCACGGCCACGACCGTCGCCGGAGCTGGAGGAAGCGGAGAAGGGGGAGGATTGGAGGAGAAAAGGGGTGCGTTTGGTAAGAGATGCAAGGTATTGATTGTTAGGGTTGGACAGGGTTCTGCCGATGATTCCTCTCATTTGGGTCGGTCGACTGAAGATTGCTCTACACTTTCGCTACAGCTGAAATGAGATCGTAGGTTATTATTAGGTTACAGCCAAATAAAAATAGCGAAAATGCTGACCGTCCGATAAGATAGCAAGAATATGTACCTTTGGATCGAGAAGTAAAAAAAGAAACTGTGTGCTACATTTGCGTTATACCGGACCTCTCTTATTTATCACGTAAAAATAATTAATTAAATCCTTATTAATTAAAATAAATTTGTTGATGGATTCATTACTTCACGAGAGAAAACTTATATCAATTTATTTATTTTATTAAATCAGTTAAATTACAAATTTTTAAATAATATCTAACTGTGCATCAAATCAACTTACCGATAAATCATTGTTGTTATTAATTTTAAAAATTTAAACATTAACGATTACAAAAATGATTAAACATTAATTATAAAAAAAAAGGATAAAAATACTTATAAAAAATATTATCACTTAAAAAAATATTTAATTATTTTACAATTTTCTTTATAAAAAAACTATTTAAATATCTCATGAGATAATACCATGTACATCGCGAGTCTCGTAACCTGGTCGATATATTGCTACATTATTGTAACAAACCCTTAATCTACATACAAAGGTTCGGAATTCAGCTGAGATAGAGAGAAAGAGAGACCGCAGCAAAATGTCGTCGCTTTTGCAGTCACTTTTGGATCCTAAGAAAAGCTGGTTGGCATCTCTGCATATGAAATCCCTTACCAGCCGCCTCCGCAAATACGGTACGATTATCCTGAAAATCCTAACCCTAAACTTTACCCTTAAATTTCAATTAAATTTATTGGATAATTTGTTTAGGCCTTCGTTACGACGATCTGTACGATCCTTACTACGATTTGGATATCAAGGAGGCGTTGAACCGTCTGCCTCGTGAGATCGTCGATGTCCGTCACCAACGCCTCAAGCGTGCAATTGACCTCTCCATTAAGCACGAGTATCTCCCCGAAGATCTTCAGGTTTCTCTTTATTTATTTATTTTTAAATTTTGAGTGAAGATTTTGGAGAATCTTATTTTAGTATTTAACTTTGATTTAACTTTGGAGGATTGATTTTCTTTTTGTGTAATTGTAATTAAGAATTAGCTTTTAAATGTCAGAAACCTTAAATGAATCCTATTATAAATCCAATTACCTTTAAGTTTGTATGTCATTGTTAAAAAAAAAAAGAACTCGGTAGAGTACATATGAATATAGTCTTTCAAAGAAAGGAAGAATAATTATATTGATTTCTTTGCTATGATTTGTTTCCACCGTTAGTTGTTTTTTGCTTCCTAATCTATAGGAATTACCATTAGAATGGTAATTGCAACACCGAACAAAACTGTTTTGACATAAAAAGCTCAATCCCTGGCTATGGAAAATTTTCTCTGTGGATGAGGAACTAAAATTTTATAATTTTTATCATATGATTAAGATATGACTATTTTTGTCAACATTAGTAGATATGTTTATGTTTATAATTATCGATGCATGTTTGCCATTCTTTTCATTTTATTTTATTTTTTGAACATTTTTGCTTCATTACTTGCTTTGAGATTAATCATAATTAATTGGATTTTATCGTTATTTTGCAGAAAATGCAGACACCATTTAGGAGCTATCTTCAAGATATGCTTGCTCTCGTAAGTTCTTGTACAGTAAAGTTATGTTGATAAATTGACTTGGATTTTATTTGAACCGTCTTACAAAAAAGTGCACCTAAGGGCACAAGCCGTGTGCCTGATCAAATGCACTTCGTTATTAAATTCTTGTTGGTGTTTGGTGCCAAGGTGCAACACCTTGATGAAGTCATGTCAAACGGCTAGATTCTTAGTTATTAAATTATAGTTTGCTTTGCAAAGTTCTAGTTTTTGCACATACCGCCATATTGTTCATCATCATGTTTGCTGACAAATTTCTGTTTGTGTTTCACTTTATTTATGGTGAATTGTTAGAAATTTAAGCTATTTGTGTTTTGACTGAAGCAAAAATTGAAAGTCAATGTGAAATGAATGGATAGAGTTGGAGTATATGTGTTAAGAATTTTTTAATTGTATTTTGTAGGTGAAGAAGGAAAATGCAGAGCGTGAAGCTTTGGGAGCTTTGCCTCTGTATCAGCGAACCATTCCTTGAGGGATGTCGAATGGTATTCCTATAGCAGAGCTGGACCATGAATTTTGCCTTTTCCTAATTTTGGTTGGTTATTCATCTGCGTCAGTTTTTGAACTGAATTGCCGATTAAGCTTAGTCTGTTGGCAATGCCCCAATAAGATACAGAAATGTGAACTGCAATTTATGCGTTCGAATGCAAGCAAAGCCATTTTAGAATAAACAAACCTTGTTGTCAAAAGCTTTTCTTGTTTGTAACTTTCATTTATAATTCAATCTTAACTGATTTTAAGTTTTTTTATTTTTATACGTTTCACAGAAGCAAACAGTCTAGCACAAAAATACCGATAGTATGTATGCAGGCAGTATCATGTTGCAAAGAACCAGTATTTGGCCACGAAGTTCACATTACAAAAGGGACATTAAAATTGCTCAGTAATGGTTACTGCTATTGTCTTGAAAATTTCTTCTACTCTCATTACGGTTACCATTTGAAGGCACAGCTTTTAGCATGAGCTTACGGCCACTTCTTGGTGGTAGTGAAGAGCTCGACTCTAGCTTATGCAATCCGTGAGGAGGTGAAAGTTGCTTGTTGTTTGGGGAACAAGTTTTCACAGACTTAAGGTGTAGAATGTCTCTGTCATCTCCCAAAATGCCGTACAGTCCATCAAATTCAAGTTGCATACGCTGTGCATCACCCCTTGGCATTGGTCTGGTCCTAGGAATTTCAATAATTGTATTGGCTTTTACCTGCAGAAATCCATACCAAAAAAAGAAGAGTTATCAATATTAAAGCCCATTCATGTGGGCATGCCAACATCTGTCTAATCTGACCCAGAAGTTTGATGGAATTTATAAGCTACCTCCTTACGTCTGGGAACCCATTTGCTTGCCTGAAGATCAAGATCACAAACCATAAATCCCAATCTTGGATCTAGCTGAGGACCTGTAATCAATTCCTTGAATCTGCTTAAGTTTGCCCGAAGATCAAGAACATCGCGAACCATAATTCTCAATCTTGGAGCAAGCTGAGGATTCGTTGTCAAATCCTTCAATCTGTTGTACACATCATTTATGCGGCGTGATTTGGGGCTCTCATCAAGCTGCTTACCAATAGTGATTAATAACAGACAAAGGGCTTCAACATTTTCCTCTGCAGGGCATCCTCCACTGTCAGGGCCCAAAAGTTCCTGTTTGGCACAAAGGAAAGAAAACTGTACAGTGTAACTGGCTAAATTCCACGTTCCATTGATGAGAAAGATGTATCAGCAATAACCTGCACAATGTGATGGACTATCTTCTCAGGCACCATTCTTTGCTTAAGAAGCTCACCAATTAAACGAATATTTCCTAGAGTGCGGAGCTTGACCATCCTTTCTTTATTCCTACGCTCCATCTCTTGCTCAGGGGCAGTCATCAGCCGCACTTCTTCCCTGAGCTTGTCAGCTCCCTCAAATGCCTCCTGGCAGTTATTCAGGAGGACTCGCTTAAATGTGATATCTTTTCCGCCAGGTTCATCGGAAGGAAATGAGGGAAGCTTATTATTCAGATCAAAACACGAGTGCATACATAGGACAGAACGTGGGTTCCAGCACGGACTTGTCAAATATTAGACAAACGACCCCTGTAAAGGCAGGCAGCATTGAAACCATCCGTGATTTCTTTTACAAGCCGCAGTAACTATGTTCATGTATATGGATATAAACACATATACATACATACAACAACATACGTGAAATGTACATGTTTGTGGATATATACCTACACATATACATACATGGAAATAAATACAGAAAAATATGCGGCAATGTAAAAAGAATAACACGAAATTTAGAAATAATAACCTTCAAGATATCAGCCGATGTGATACCAGAATGAATTAGTTGGTTCTTCAAAAGGTCATACTTCCCTTGAGTCAGTTTGTTCAATATCCTAGACAAAGAACATACACATCGAGAATAACCAGTAATTTCATTATCCAACAAAGGAAATGATTGCCTCTTCCTATTAGGCATGCTTGAAAAGGAAACCACTTGGCAAGTTTGCAAGTTTACAGAGAAGTCACGGCTAATAAGGGAATCAGTTGATACATTTGCATCTTTTACCACAAAAATGCCTTGCATCTGTTTAATTTAATAAGAAAAAAATTGTTTCTACTACATGGGTTTGTTACTTAACAATCAGCGCAACATAATGAGTCATCTTAAGATGCAAGGTTTCTTTTATGGTTTGTGAATAGATATCAGAAATACATATATGACGAAAAAAACCTATATATCAGAGAAAAACCAGATTTTACTGTGTGTTGATAAATATCAGAGACGTATATGACGCAAGAAACATATTTCTAATATATTTACATTTTAACAGTCTTTAGAACACGCTCTTTCTCAGGAAGATACCCCCTTCTAGCCAACCATGGCACCTCAGCCTTGATCAAAGCTGGAGTAGATCCTCCCTGGTTCAACAAAGGAAACCCAATTTAATGCAAAAGCAAAATAACATAGATAGCTTGCTGCAGGGATTGCTAGGAATAAATATAAAGCCAATGCGAAGCCGATATTAATTACAGAGTTTGAATAGAAAAAAATGCAGGAAACCATCAATAGAAAAAAAGGGTTTGAATCTTTTATGATACCCCTTGATTAGAAGAGACTTGTGTCCTTGGGAACTGAGAGTTGGATTGATCTTGGAGATTAAACTGATTAGCTTCTGGCTGTCTGGAGTCGAATGATTTCCCAAATCTCTATCCCAAAGAGATTCCCAGGACCTCTCCTCTCCAGCAGGAGAAATCTGTGACGAACAGCTAAACCAATCACGGTAGTAGGGCTCAGAGCAACACTTCTGCCTATAACTTGCTGGATCGCAAAAGTACAGAGTATGAAGTAACAGGTGTTAACAAAGAATGACTGCTTGGCAAAATTAATTGAAAATACAAGAACTTCATCAAGGAACTTAATTGCTATTAACATATTAAAAAGTAAAATGCAAATGAGCAGTTAGATTGTACATTGCTTTCTCCACAAGCCCAGATCTTCATTGAAGAACCCTTCAATATCTCGTTTTATTTTAATGATCTCTTTAGCAACTTCTATAGCCTAAAGAGAAAGAAAGAAGCATAAACATGTTTAATTTCAAAACAATATATATGAGAAGGGGTATGAACATTGAACTACTTATTTCCATGATCAACTCACTACAATTGAAACAGTATGCTAACAACTTTGAACAACTAGTACGCAGATAAAAGCATAGATTTGTTCTTTTCTGGATTGTTTTGGAAGTAAAATGAAACAATAGTTTGCTGATGCAGAGGTAAAACATACTACTAAGCAAAAGTTTGCACAATTACCTTCCTAAGTTGTAGGCCCTGGTCCTTAGTGTACCGCACACGTTCACGACCCTTAAATTCTGAGTCTCCAGCCTACAACAGTAAGGAGATTGATAACTTCTGATTCTACAACCCAAAAATATAACAATATGCAGCATGTTAACATTCAGATCAACAATCTAAAGAATAAATCAGTACCCGTAAGATGCAAATTATGAGGCATACTCCTAACATGGTTATCAAAAAGTTAACTTGTCTAACAAAACAAAAGGATAAGCTACATAAATCTTGACAAAAAAAATACATGAAATCACGAAATTTAAATCTAAAGGTTATATATCGTAAGGATGTTCTCACAAGACCCAGCCTCTTGCACCCCACAATCCTCAATGACTTGGATAAAAGTCTATACACGTAAAAAAATTAATTATTATTCTTTCTCCATTAGGAGGATCAAAAAGTAAATAGGCAGTAAATATATAACTGTAATCTATTATCTTGAACTCGAGAAGTAGAGCTTAGAAACTCTACAAGAGTGTTTTAACTGATTGTCATGTGTTCATTTAAGCATACATGTTCCCTAAATAATGTTCTGTTAACTTAACACACTCAAAATATGGACATGTCAACCAGTGTATATGTGAAATATATGCGTGAATAGTTACAATCCTTAATTGGTGCTTATGCAAACCAGTTAAGTAGACAAAATATCATCCATATATAACCACTGAAACACAACTAAGACTACTAACCCACAATTAGAACAAATTATTTGACTCTTTATCAATGGAACGCCTCCATTTGTTTAAAACTGTATAAGATCCTTAATGATTTTATAGGTCGTTTGTGGGGAATCAGAAACTCAAAAGGGTAATGCCTAACAGATGCTGACAAATATATTGATTTAACATCAGAACATCTAAAAAAAGAAACCACCCAGATAAAAGAATAATTTAAAACGTCTAGATAAAAAAGACTGAGATGTGGGTTTGGAAGAGAAAAGAATAAAAAGATTGAACCCCAAGAGAAAATGGAGGACGAGCACCGCCATGGCAGCGAAAGAGAGGAAGATCAGAAGAAGAACAACAACAACAACAACAAAACCCAATTCCCATATGCAATGGGGTAAGGGGGAGGTAGGGTAGTAGGCTGCCCCCAACGCCAGGTTGAGAGTAGCTTCCGTGGAAGACCTCCGGCAGTCAGAAAATTAAAAAAAATAGATAAAATGCAAAGCATGTATAAATAAATACATAAATACATAGTTGAACAGTATTCATATGCAGTCATAAATATCATTAATATTATATGCGCGTTTGAAATGGGAAGTAATCCCTGCAAATAAATCTCTGCGAAAAAATCTCTGCATATAGACAGAAACGTAAGACCCGACTAAATTTAAAAGTGAAGAGAATATTACACAGAAGTCCACGATAGCAAGCCCAGTTCTAAGCCTTCATAAATACCAATAAAAGAAACGTATAAAAAGTAGAATTCATGGAAATTACTACAAAGACATTAAAAGAAGACAGAGATGATACACCCTAGAGATGTGACCCACACTACTCGACTACCCTAGTCTTTAGTCTCCATACTTTCCTATCAGAGGTCATATCCTCGGTAAGGGATAAATCCATCAAATCAGATCTCAAGCAGTCTTCCCACTTCCGCCTTGGTCGTCCTCTCCTTCTGGCACCGTCGACTGTAATCGACTCTACCCTCCTGACTGCATCCGACGGTAGTCGCCTAAGGACATGCCCAAACCACCGTAGTCTTCCCTTCCTCAATTTTTCAGAAACAGGAACCACCCCCAAGGACATCCTAATAGTAGAGTTTGTTGTCATATCCCACAGAGTCCTACCGCATGTCCATCGAAGCATTCTCATTTCTGCAGCCTCTATCCTCCTTACATGATCCTTCTTGGTTGCCCAACATTCTGATCCATACAACAACGCTGGTCTTATTGCCATTCTATAAAATTTTCCCTTAAGTTTTAGAGGCACCTTCTTGTCACACAAAACTCCAGTAGCAACCCTCCACTTTAGCCATTTCGCCTTTATACGATGTGTTACATCATCATCTATACCCCCATCTTTATGTATCATAGACCCTAGGTACTTGAAACAATCCTTTGAGGGGAGAACATGTCCTTCTATGCATACTTCTACATCTTCATCGTTTTGGTCCCCACTGAAGTTTGAACATAAATACTATGTCTTTTCAATATTGATCCTTAGACCTTTTTCTTCCAAAGCAGTCTTCCAGGTAGTCAGTCTATTATTCAACTCAGATTTTGTTTCAGCAACTAGGACAATTTCGTCAGCGAAAAGCATACACCATGGTACACCGTCTGCTGTCGCACAATAGATGCCGTCCATAATCAAGACGAAGATGTAAGGACTAAGAGCCGACCCCTGGTTGAGTCCGATTTCCACCGGGAATGCCTCGGTGTCGCCAAATGTAGTCCTGACGTGTGTAGTAGATCTACAATACATATCACGAATCTCCCGGATATAAGCAGTTGGGATCCGTCTCGTTTCCAAAGTCTTCCAAATCGTATCTCGAGGAACGCTATCATAAGCCTTCTCAAGGTCAATGAATGCCATGTGAAGATCTCTAGACTTTTCCCTATATTTCTCCATAAGTCGTCGAAGTAGATGAATCGCCTCCGTGGTAGACCTGTCTGGCATAAATCCAAATTGGTTTTCCGAAACCCTAGTAACTTTTCTCAACATAGCCTCTATCACCATTTCCCATAGCTTCATGGTATGACTGAGTAGTTTAATACCTCTGTAGTTACCACAACGTTGGGGATCTCCTTTATTCTTATATATTGGTATCATCGTGGACTCTCTCCACTCCTCTGGCATCTTGGCAGTCTCTAAAATAATATTATAGATGTTGGTCAACAACTTAACTCCCTCTTCTCCTAGGGCCAACCACACAGTGATAGGAATTTGATCAGGACCAACAGCTTTGTCCCTTCCCATATTTCTAAGAGCCATTTTGACTTCCTCAAATCCAATCTTACTTGTAGGGCAGTCATTGGCCGTAGTATGATGGTCGGCTGACCCATCAACGGTACTATCTCTACAGGGAGAGACACCCTCATTAAATAAGCCAAAGAAGTAACTACCCCAAACCCTCTTAATATTATGATCTTTCGCTAGAAGAACACCATTGTTGTCCTTAATAAACCTAATGCTACCTAGATCTTTTTTCCTATTCTCCCTAGATTTTGCAAGCCTGAAGATGTCGTTTTGTCCTTTCTTGGTGTCTAATCTCTTTTACATTTCCTCGTATGCCTTATCATTTGCTTTAGCCACCGTTTTCTTGGCTTCTCGCTTTGCCTCCTTGTATCTTTGTTTAGCTCTCAACCTTTCTTCGTCGTAATTGCATTGTAGAAACTCCTTGAAGCAAGTTTTCTTTGTCTTCACCTTAGTTTGGACTTCGTCGTTCCACCACCACGATTCTTTATGTTCCTTGGCCTTCCCCGTCGATAACCCCAGGGTGTTTTTGCCCATCTCTCTGATGGAATTTGCCATATTTTTCCATAACAAATCTGCATTATTTGAGATTGTAGTTCCAAAACCTGTATTAGACAAAACCTTACTCTTAAAGTCATTAGATGTCGCTCTATGTAACTTCTTCCAAAGGATCCTAGGTTTATCCAGTTTAGCTCTCCTATGAGTGCTCCGCCCGTGCGGTACGCGGAACACCAAAACCAACAATTTGTGTTGTGATGCACATGCCTCTTCAGGGTACACCTTACAGTCAATGCAAGCCCATCGATCCCGATTTTGAGCCAGGATGTAGTCGATTTGGGTACAATGCCCCCCGCTATGAAACGTAATCAAGTTCGCATCTCTCTTATTAAATAAGGAATTAGTGACCACTAAATCGTGTGCAGTAACAAATTCAAGCAACGTACGTCCCTCATCGTTCCTGCTACCATAACCGAAACCCCCATGAACACCGTCAAACCCGTCGGTTACACTACCTATATGGCCATTGAAGTCTCCCCCTATGAAAACTCTTTGGTACTCCGGAATGTTCCTAAGTACATCATCTAACTGATCCCAGAAGCAACGTTTCTCCTCCTCCCCTAGGCCAACGTGTGGGGCGTACACTGAAAGGACATTCACCACTTCCTCTTTTATAATAACCTTAATCATCATGATCCTATCCCGGTATCTATAAACCTCAACTACATTTTCCTTGAGCCTATAGGATACCAAGATACCCACCCCATTTCTAGCTTTATCTAAGCCTGAATACCACAACTTGTACCCATTACACTCTCTAGCGCGATCCCCTTTCCACCTAGTCTCCTGAATATATGCAAAATCTAATTTCCTATTATTAAGTACGTCGGTCAGCTCCAGTAGCCTCTGATCACCCTGCTGCATATTGTACCGAGATCTTATTACGTGATATTCAATTTCCGCAAATAATCCCAGCGATATGTAAAACGATGAGCCTGAATTTATAGGGGGGAAAACTTAAGGAAAAATGAATTATGTTCTAATGTGAAAGGGAAAGTAAACAAAAAGAATTATGTTCTAATGTGAGGGAAAAAACTTAAGGAAAAAGGAACTTTGTTCTAATGTGAAAGGGAAAGTAAACAAAAAGAAGACTTTAGTTTCGAGAGTAGAAAATGGAATGAAAGTGATGTATGCACAGTTTTCAAGTAGCCCCTTCAATAAATCAGCTATCAACCACGAAGAATCAGTCAAGTTGTTGACCTCTCAAGGGGCATGCATAATCTTCATATTACGATCACTCCATACCCGTTATAAGATAGAAGTTGTTAAAAAAGACATTCAAGGATTGTGAGACTTCCACGTGTTTGGTTGGTCGGAAATTTCATTTCTGGTAATGTTTTATTATCAATAGTATATTTTTTGAGGTATATTATCGGGAATGTCATTACCTCTCTTCCCTTAGGTATTGTAACATTATCGGCGTTTTGGACTAAAATACCCTTAAATTTTTATTTCTTTTCAAAAATATCATTCTTCTGCCATTGAATAATAAAAATTCTACGAAGGTTAAATTACAAATTTATCCTTAAATTATTTTTGATTTACAAAAAAAATCTATAATTAAAATTTTATATGAAGTTCAGGGGTTAAATTTTTTTTTTACCTTTTCATTAAACATTTTTTATATTTTTAATTTTGAAAAAAAATTTACATAAATATTATGAATTTAATTTTTTAAAGAAAATATATAAATATTTTACAATTTGTAATATTATAAAAATATATAATAAGGACAATTTGGTTAAATATACATTTCAATAATCTTTTATTCCTTTAACCAAACACGGTAATCTTACATTCTTGCTAAACCAATCAAACACAAAATACAACATTATCAATAATCCTATTCCCTGATAATCTTTTATTCCCACTGGTAATCTTACATTCCGTGAACCAAACGCACCCTGAGTGTGTCTGGTTAACTGTGTGTAAGATTATCTTTGGGAATAATATTACTGGAATATAATATTATTATAATAATATTATATTATCTTGTTTATTTTGTTTAACATGAATGTAAGATTACAATGTTTGGTTTGAGAAATATAAGATTATTTAAATGTTTGGTTTGATGAATATAAGATTATTTGAATGCATATTTTACCAAATTATCTTTCTAATATATATTTTTAAAATTAAACTTTAATATTAATTTATAAATATTTGAATGAAAATTCATAAAAATATTTTAATCGTTATACTAACTAACTTTTGAGGAAAAATTACATTTAATATATAATTAGTATATCAAAATTATATTTTTAAATAATGTTTATAAGTATCATATTTATTTATATAAAAAATAATAGTATGGTAGTAAAATATTATTTTAAATAATTACATTTTTACAATAATACTATTTTTTTATCCCATAAAATTATAAATAGTAAAATATTGGATATTAAAATATAAATATTTTAAATTCTCAAAATTATTAAAATTTTAGTAAATCAAACTCTTTATTTATTATTATTATTTTTATAATTTTGAGTAAAGTATAAAAAATAAAAATTTAAAATGATCATTATAAAAATAATTCATTAGTTCATGGGTATTATTGTTCAAAGTAGTGGGAATGTAAGATTACCTAAGAATTTGGAGGTAATGACATTCCCACCAATTCTACTATTGGTAATGTAGTATTCCCGGTAATTTAAGATTTCGTGAACCAAACGTGAGAATATAATTCCAGAAAAAAATATTCTCCTTAATAATGTCATATTCCGCGAACCAAACACACCCTTAAACACACCCTTAAGAAATAAGCATTCCTCCCTTCAGAATACTTCGCTTTAACACAAACATCACGGAATCTATTACCAGAAGCAGTGTGCTGGAAAAGAGCGTATTGCTAAGCGTCTACATTTACATGCATAAAATCTACTATAATTTTAAGCAAACAAAAAAAATCAAAAAGAAGGGATAAAGAGCAGAAAAAATAGAGAATCTTCTGCTTCATTGAGATCGTTTTTGAGCTTGAGAATCTCCAGCTTCCGCTCCTTCGCCTTAAATTCCATCGAAAGTAGAGATATTAGACACTCAATTGGAAAATGTAAGATGGAAGTGTTGGGAAAAGTCAACAAACGAAGGCTTGAAGGGGGCCCGCCGAAATCAACAATTTCAGCTGGAAAAACAAATGCACATGGGGCGGCTGAAAAACAATAAATGGGCAGCCATTGTTGAAATAGAAATGGGAGTATTGCAACTTTAGTCATTGCATTTTTTAGGGTATTTACAAGATTAGTTCTTAGGCTTCAACTATAAATACCCTAGCTCATTTAGCTTCAAAATCATCCCAAAACATTTCTTTCTTCCTATACTAGAGAGCTTTATTGTGAGTAGTGAGTGTTTGTAAACACCTGTAAATTTTCTCTCTTAGTAAAAGATCTGCAGCAGCCCGGAGACGTAAGCACAATTGGCTGAAATCCGTTATCAATTTTCGGGTATTATTTTTCCGCTT